TTTTTTTGAGATGGAGTCTCGCTCTATCATCCAGGCTGGAGTGCAGTGGCACGATCTTGGCTCACTGCAAGCTCACCTCTCGGGTTCATGCCATTCTCCTGCCTCAGCCTCTGGTGTCGCTGAGTTTACAGGCACCCGACACCACCCCCGGCTAATTTTTTGTACTTTTAGTAAAGACGGGGTTTCACTGTGTTAGCCAGGATGGTCTCTATCTCCCGACCTTGTGATCCACCCGCCTCAGTCTCCCCAAGTGTTGGGATTACAGGCGTGAGCCACTGCTCCCAGCCAAACATGCATATTCTTACTCTCCCTGACACAGAAGTTATGCATATCACTTCCACTTATGTTCTATTGATGAGAACCTGTTCTATGGCCCTAACCCGACTAAAGGAGAGGTAGGACGTAGAGTCTCTGGCTGGATAGTCACTTCTCAGAAACAATTCTGCCATATGCAAGGGAGAGCACAAACACTTTTTTAACAGATAGCTGTATTTACCATACAAACTAAATGTGTTTCAGCAAAGAATTGGTTAATTAAATTACTCATCATTCATAAAATGGAACAATATGCAGCTATTAAAAAGGATGGGGAGATATACATGTATTGAGTACACACACACACACACACACATCTCATTACTTTTTTTTGAGACTAAGGGAATGGCTTTATTGAAGTGGAAGAAACACAGCAATTTTGAGTAGATCTAAAGGAAGAGTTCTACATTGCCTATTACTCATTTCGTATTACTCATTACATGAAGAGTTTTTCTGAATGAAAAATGTTTAGGACGTTGAGGAGAGAAAGAACAAATTAATAACGAATGATCTCCACAGCATACACCTCAAGACTCTTATGCGTGCAGGGTACAGTTCTAGTTGCAAAAGTCCTCAGGGACAGCATGAGGGCCTGAACTGGGGTGCCTTGGGCTCCTTCTAGAGCAGCAGTTGAAGTGGATCGTGCTGAAGTCCAGGAGACAGGTTTGGGTTACTCTCCTTTCTGGTCGCTTCCTGACGGCATCTGGGGTTTTCAGCATCTTCCTGGGAGGCCTGGACTGTAGAGGGCGCCCTGGATGTGTGTCCTTCCACTTCTGTAGGCGCTGGTATCTCCAAGGCTGACTCAGGCCACTTTGGACCCCTCCACTGGTAGCATCTGCGTCATCTTGAGGTGATTGGAGCCTGTTTGTAGTTTCAGCCATTGATTCCCAGACATGGTAGTCTCGAGAGAGTTTGTGGCCCCTCTCATCTCCGGGGAGGGCTCGGTGCCCGATGGAGGTGCAGTGCAGCAGCCAGCGCATAGCAGAGCTCCTGTAGAACTGAAGACATTAGCAGGAGCAGCGGCTCAGCACAGGAAAGTTATCCAGTGCCCTGCCCAGGCTTGCTCTAGGTTCAGGTCCGGTGGTATGTGGGGCTCTGGCGCTGTCTGCCTCCAAGACAGCTCTTCCAAGGTTGATGGATGGAACTCCATAGCCTCAGCCTCCCAAGGCGTGACCAGGCGCAGCCACGTAGTTAGTCTAGGACAAAAGCAAATGGCCTCATAACTTTAAAAAACAAAACCCCCAAACCATATACAGTCTTATAATATAAACCTCAGACTTGACTTGGCAGGGTGCGGTGGCTCACGCCTGTAATCCCAGCTCTTTGGGAGGCCAAGGCAGGTGGATCACTTGAGGTCAGGAGTTCAAGACCAGTCTGGCCAACATGGTGGAACCCCATCTCTATTAAAAATACAAAAATTAGCCGGGTGTGATGCCGGGCACCTGTGGTCCTAGCGACTCAGGAGGCTGAGGCAGAATTGCTTGAACGTGGGAGGCGAGGTTGAAGTGAGTGGAGATGGAGCTGTTGCACTCCAGCCTGGATGACAGAGTACGACTCTGACTCAATAAAATAAAATAATAAGTAAATACCGGCACCTCAGTCCATGTAATATTTTCTCAGACTACATGGTTGGTCCACAACTTCCACCTTATTACATCTAAATTATAGAAAATTTTGCTTTTTCTTTTTGAAATAGTTGTAAAATCTTATGAGATATTAATAGGCAAAATGAAAATTATGAAGTGACAATGTTGTCAGTCCCATTTATTAAATAAATTTTCAATATAATTGCTTACTAATTCTGGTGGGTTTTTGATAGTTTTAAAAACAATTTTCTGTGTAGACAATTGTTGTTTACAAACAGAAACCGTTTTACTTATGTCATTCTTTCTAATTTGTGTTCCTAACCTTCGTTAAAGTCCCTTAATGCACTGGTTACAAACTTCAGTATATTATTGAATAGAAATGGTGAGAGAAGTTATACTACTTCTGTTATGATATGTTCGTGTTTTGGGAACAAAATCATTCATTAGGTTGAAGAAATTGCCCTCTATTATTATATTGCCAAGGGTTGTATTTTAAATAATGAATGGGTATTGCTTTTTTGTTAAATGCTTTTTGGGCATCTATTGAAATGATAGGGTATTTTTTCCCTTACTGTACAGATAGGGTGACCTGGATTAATTGATTCTTAAATGCAAAACTAGCCTGGCATCATCATGATATATTATCCTTTTATATATTGCTGGATTTTAGTTGTTAGTAATTTTGCATCTATATTCATAAGGAATGTTGTTCTACATTTTTTTCTTTAATGTATTTGCATGATTTTTGGATTAGGGTAATTCCAGCTTCATAAATTAGTTGGAAAACTTCTGTTTTTAGAAGGGTTTATGGAGAATTAGTTTTATTTCTTCCCTAAACATTTGGTAGAATCTTCAAGGAAGCTACCTAGGCCTAGCTTTTTTGTGTGGGAAAGTTTTTAAATCACAAATTCAATTCTTCTATATATATAGGGATATTCAGATTATATGTTTCTTCTTGAGTGAGCTTTGAAAGTTTGTACCTTTGAAGGAACTTGTCTATTTCATCTAAGTTGTCAATATGGGCATAGAGTTGTTCATAGTTTTCTTTTATTATCCTTTAACTCTATAGGGTTTGTGGTGATATCCTCTGCTGCCTTGCTGATGTTTATAATTTGATAGATTTCTAATTTGGTATTTGTTATTTGTTTCTTTTTAGTTTCCTCTGACTGTTTAGCAAGGTCATATGATACAAGTTTAACATATAAAAATTAATCATATTTGATTGATTGCTAGCAAGGGATAATAGAAAATTACAGTAAATAATACCATGTAAAATAGCATCAAACCTATGAGACAGATATAAATTGAACAACATATGTAGAAGAGCTATATGCTGGGAGCTCATGAAAATTAAAAAAATAAAATAAAATAAATGCATATATACCTACCATATTTGTGAATTAGAAGACTCAGTAGTTAAAATGTCAGTATCCCCCTGTTTATTAATTTAACATAATTCCAATTAATATCCTAGTAGGATTCTTTAGGCACTGAAAAGCTATTTCTAAAATTTACATGGAAATAAAAAGGACCTAGAATCTAAAGGAATCTAAAAAATAAAAGAACAAAGCATTAAAATTTATGCTACAAGATTTCAAGATTTACTGTCATCGAAATAGCATAATTTATAGAAAGGACAGGCGTACAGATTAACAAAACATAAGGGTACAAAAATATACCCGTAGATACTTGGTCAATTCATTTTTGACGGAGGTACAAAGATAATTCAATGGAGAAATGTGAGTAATCTCAACAAATGGTACTGGAACAATTTAACATTTGTGTGCAAAATGATCAACCTTGAGTCATACCTTGTAACCTATATGGAAATTAAGCAAAAATAAACTACAAATCTAAAACTTTAAAATTTCTAGAAGAAGTATAGGCTAAATTGAGTCAGTAATAGATTTCTTAGATAGAACTCCCAAAGCAGGATTTATGAAAGAATACATTGAGATTTGATTTTATCAAATGTAAGATTTTTTTCCTTGAAATTCTGTTATTTGAAAAGCAGTAATAAGAGAATGCAAAGAGAAATTATAGACTAGGAGAAATGATATACAAATCATATATCTGATAACAGACTTGTATGCAGAATACATACATATGCTCACACATGCACGCACACACACACACTCCGTCTCTCTCTCTCTCTTCCAAAGCTCAATAATAAGAAAACAACCTAATAACAGTTGGCAGAAGATTGAACAGAATTTCTCTGCAGATAACATGTATGACTAGCCAATAAGCACAATGAAAAAAATCAATAATAATTAGAAAATGCAAATTAAAATAATTGTACAATAGCTACCACTATGTATATACTCAAATGTCTAAAAATAAAATTAAATTAAAAGCTGAAAATACCAACTGCAGGGGAGAAGGTAGAGTAGCTGGAAGATTGATATATTGGTGGTAGGATTATAAAAGAATGCAGACACTTTGGAAAATAGTTTGACAATTTATCATAAAGTAAAATATCCACTTACCACATAACCCAGCAATCTCATATTTACCTAAGTAAAATGATAACCTATATTTACACAAAAGCTGTATATAAATATTTATAGAGACTTAATGCATCGTAACCCCAAACTAGAAACAACTCAAATGTATGTTACTTGTGAAATGAATGAACAAAGTAAGGTATGTTCATAGAATGGATTATTAATCAGTAATCAAAAAGGGAGAACTACCTAATACTAACAATAATATAGATGAACTATCTAATACTAATAATAATATAGATGAATCTCAATTACATTATGCTAAATAAAAGATGTCAGACTAAAAATACTAAACCCTGGATTATTTCATGTATATGACATACTGGAAAAGACAAAACCATTGAGATAAAAACCAATCAGTGATCACCAAAATTGTCAGCAGGGCAATGGGTTGACTGTAGAGGTGCAAAGGGGATATTTTGGGATAATGATCCTGTTCTATATCTTATGAATGATATTGGTTAAACGACAATACACATTTATCAAAACTTGCAGCACTGTACATGAGAAAGAATGAATTTTGATGAATTTAAAATATGGACTTCATTAAAATACCAAAAATAGAGCAAAAATGCAATAAAAAAGCATTGCCTCACTGCTCTATCTTCTTGTAAGAGAACACACTGAAACTTTGAGGCCAGTAAGTAGTCTAGCACTAAGCAAACGATTCGGAAGAAATTCACATAAGCAGCCATAAGCAACAGCCTAATCTCTGCAAACCAGCTCACACTGCATTTTACTAGGCCAAAGAAACAGGGGTAATAGGATGAATGATGTGACACAAATTATCACCATTCTAAATATGTCAAGCATATGTCCTGCTGACAAGAGGGGCTGTCTGGCATGGTAAGTAGCTGTGTCAGCTTTTCAATCTTCAAGCATAAAAAGTGAGTGAAGTTCTTGTTTTTTTCATGTGCCACATAGGGAAAGAATAATTTTTTCCTCATTACTGTGGTTCTAGTTGTTGGTTAAAAGGCATTTTTGTACATGTCTAATTTAAGAAGCAATTTTATTACTAAAATTGAGAATGAAATATCATCCCATTTTGTAAAATGATATCTCAGATAACTTATGTGTATGGAAAGGTGCTTATACAATTTCGTATTTCTAAAGGATTTCTGAAAGTTCTAATTTACTCTCTGAAACATAACCTGGAAACATATAAATAAAATAGCACAGCCGTGTTTGCACTGTCTTGCTAAGTCCAATACATGATCAATGTGAGTTATTTGACTATAGATCACAAAGGCAGCAGCATAATGCTATTGACTATACAATGGTTGATCCGACAGCTATACAAATAAGATAGCAAACAGTGGTTGTTTGGTTTAGAGCTATTTATGTAAACAAAACTAATGAGGAAAAAAGACCTCTATTGGTAATAACTTGTAATGGTTGCAAACTGGTTGCCAACTTCTAATCACCTTTCTCTATTGTTCTGTTTTCACTCTAAGGGAGGTCAGCATGATTTATTTACATGTGTTTCCTAAATCATATACTTGCACACATTTGTGAAAATGCGTCCTAAATTCCAATGATGTTACAAAGCAAAACAGCCCCTAAAAGCTATGCAAATTAGTATATTTCATAAAAATTGCTTGTCTAAATTGTAAATTGATCGATGATTAGGTAGCAAATTCAATGTGGATGTACATTGCTTCAGAGGGTGATATTTATATTTTACAGAAACAAAAAGATCAATGTAGAAAATCCTTATTTCTTATGATTAGTGTTTCCGTATCTGTTGGAGATTGTGCTTTCAGGTGAATTAGAGAACTTACCAAACAAACAATTGAAAAACTTCTCCAGGAGACATCAAGAGATGACAAAACTACAACCGAGTCATGTACCACCCAAAAATAAAAGCAAGAAAGAGAAAACCCTTCTAATATGAAAATAAACAGCACCAAATTGCTTACAGTGTATATACATTAAGACAGGATAACAATAGAAACTCTGTTGTACTAAACGGATGATTAAGCTTAAATGA